TGCTCGGTGGCGGGGTTAATGGTCTCGAAGGTCTTGCCCTCAACACCCTTCACAAACTCATTGTTGATGAACCTAGGAACGAGAAGCAATTAGAAATGACATCAATAATAGAGGAAGCGACGATAGAATGCCGGGAAAACTTACAAACCCAAAGGCTGCTCATATTTGCCCTGGGGGGTCTCGATAGTTGCGTAAAGGTCAGACATGGTGGGTGGATATGACGACTAATGAGGAGTAGGGGGGTATCACAGGGTCAAGAAAGAGGAGGGAAGACACTCCTTATTATAGGTAAAAGAGCTAACCACGGCAAGCTGTATGGAGCTGTTGCCGGCAAGGAGGAGGGGCAAAGGGGGAAGGGGAACGAGGGGAAGGCATGGGAGGCGATACGTAACAGGATCCAATAGGATTGCCGCATGGATTGAAGGTACTCCTCCTGGGACCCCGCTCTATTGCGGGGTTGCTGTCTTGCCGCCTGCCCGTTTGGTTTTCTGTGCCACTCATAAGTCACATATCAACTGTAACGGGATAAAGAAGTGGAGTCCTGCAGCTCCCTAGTGGCATCTAGCTTTGGTTGCTCAGCACGACATTCTGTTCTCGTCAGGCGGAGAGATTTTCGCCCGAGAAACTGGGCTCAGCTCTACTGGTGAATCTTAAACGGACAACACGGAAATCAACAATGGCAGATAGGGGAGCCATGAAGGCACACACAGTATGCTCGCCGGCAATGGATAGCTCTCAAAATTCCCGACGGGATCACAACGGCATGTGTTGGAGGTTGTACTACATAAATGAAGCTTAATGGCAGAACTCCATAGACAATGTCCATTGTTATCTGGACTGGACTTCCACCACCCTCCCACACTAGTCTACTGCATACTACGGACCCCCTAGAAGATTTGACGGGCGGAAGTTTTACCGAACCAGGAAAGATGCGCAGCGAAACTGTTCCAGGCCTCGGGGAGAAGATCACGAATGCACCGAGGGCAGACAGTTGGGTTGAGTTGCTTACCAACGGACTTAAAACGGAGCACGGATGTATCCTGTCATAAAAACTTGCGAGAACAAAGGCATTATTTAGGGAGAACAAACGCCAAGCACTGTGCTCACCGCTCACTTCTCCGAATAGGACTGTTTCCTCGGATGCACAGTGTCATCAAGGGGTCTAGCTGGCACCTTAAACGGGAAATGTGCAGCCGAGGCAAGGCGAGACTAACCAGCAGCAGCAAAGAAACCTACCTTAACCCCACTTCAACTCCTAGAAGTACAGAGTACATCAAGTCCTAGGCAACAAACGACGATCATGAATACAAAGGTGACACTAGAGAATGGATGCGGAATACTAATGCGAAATTACAGCTGCTCAACAGTTCAGAGCTTCGAACCCCACACCCATTGCCCACCGCCCAACATCTACCCCTCTATGGTCAGAGTCTATGTAATAGTGGACGGTTCTTGCCAATAAGGTCCTTCACGCAGCTTTAATCTCATACTCTAGCTTCATCTCCCGGTTTCGAATCCGATGATCACCTTCAGAGTGTCGGTTTATTGGTTTTGATCAACTTCTAGGATCCCGACTCTAAGTTACTTTCCCTTTCGCTGGTCGCGGCCCCTATCTGATAATGCATTCATCGGCTTCCTACAGTATCCTTGAACCATATGGAAACCTATACAAACTATACACAGTACAGACATTCAATAATAGTCAAGGGGGAAATAGTTTAGCTTGAGAAGCGTTTGGGAACACAAGGTCTAGACGTCCCTTAATCAGATGATCTGCATGAAGGACCTTGTGATACGAGTTGATACTACACTATCCAATGCCCTCTAGACTGTCCCTTAAAAATGATTGATGCCTAGAGAGGTTAAGATCCCATTTTCTGCTGGCACACTGAACCTAGACTGATCAACCTTTCGTGCTCTATGACGACACATATCAACATTAGCCACTTACCGTAATGACCAGTGTCAATTCAAGCTTATAAAGATGTCTAGAAACGAGGCCTGAAAGACCCAAGAGACCTACTATACTCAGCCTAGGTTGAAGCTTCTCAGCTGGCTGGCAAAGCCAATGTTAGAAGCACCCAATGAACCATATTAGAACATATGCTTGATTTCGTGAACTAGCAAACGTAGATTATTGACCTGATACTTAGCCCTTCCTACAGTTCGATAGGTTCGGGATGACTTGATGAACCACCTCATGAAAACACTTCTGTGGACGTCATACAGGGAGAACATCAGGTCGTATAGATCAAGTGCTCTGAAGAGGTGGTTGGCCTCAGTCAATCAGAAAATGATGAAGCTGTGCAGTACAATGTACACCTATTATTAACGCATTAACTACGTGAAGGTGAAGTCCAGGAAGTGTTGCTTGCCATTGAAAAAGCTTTTATGCTCAGGGCTGGAAGCAACCTAATTGACGTGTGGGGAACTGCTTGATTCTGATACCAAATTCTGAATCGCACTTTAATAAGTTTAATATACAGACTGTCAACTCGAGAATGAGGCACAAACATAGAGTCACGTTCAAAGAAATGAAGGCTGGAGTTATGCATCTGCATTACCCCAGATTGTATGCTGACGCTAACCCCGCATTCCAGACCGAGGACCGAGCTATCTTTCCCTCGGTGCTTCATCCCAGACAAACCAGATACAATCAATTTATACAGCGCATCGTCAGTTGATTATTTCGACCATGTGTGTCTGGCTTTTGGATCGAGCAGTATTTGCTGGTCAAGTCTGCTCATTCAATTTGGAAACTGCTTGCTCTATCAGAATTAGCCTCAACTGACACGATGAGAACTCGCCCCATTCGCATCGCAGGTGAGTTGGTGATCTATGTATAATTCTGCTCGATGTCGGTACTGACTGAATAAGGTGCTTCGGGCTCTGCCTCTGACCGGCGCCATGCTATTGCTGAATTTGCCCACAATTATCCTCAGGACCCAGTCGATGTGATCATCGCGGACTTCATGAGCGAAGCCAACATGGTCACAGGGGCAGCACGGAAGATTGACCGGCTACAAGCACAGGGTAAGCAGGATGCAGCTATGCCGGGGTATGAGACCTCCTTCCTGCTGGCCCTAGAACCGGCGCTGGAGGATTTAGCGAGACATGGGATCAAGCTGGCTGTCAATGCGGGAAATTCTGATACTGAAGGTTTGTACAAGGTGGTAGCGCAAATGGTACAGGCTAAAGGGTTGAAGTTAAAGGTAAGTAAATATCCCTTGCTGCACTGGCGGCGTACACTGAGTAGGTACAGGTTTCTTGGATATCAGGAGATGAAGTTCTTTCTACTATCAAGAAATCTTTATGCTCTGGCAAATCTACGTTCAGCAACGTCTACACCGGTGAGACACTCTCAGAATGGTCATTTGAGCCGATATACGCCCAATGTTACCTGGGAGGTCTCGGAATCGCAGAGGCTTTCGCTCAAGGGGCCGACATTGTTCTGTGTGGACGAGTATCAGACGCATCGCCCGTGATAGGTGCAGCGTACTGGTATCACGGATGGAACCGTAATGACCTCGATCGACTGGCGAACGCTTTTGTGGCTGGCCACCTCATTGAGTGCAGCAACTACGTCTGTGGCGGCAACTTTACGGGCTTCAAAATGCTGGAAAACGCCGGTGGTGATGGCTGGACCAACATCGGATATCCCATCGCAGAGATCTCAGCAGACGGCCAGGTGGTCATCACGAAGCCATCATACTCTTCCGGTGGCGCTGTCACTGTCGACACATGTTCCTCTCAACTGCTGTACGAGATCCAAGGCCCGTGGTACTTCAACTCGGACGTGACTGCCATACTGACGGACGTCCATTTCGAACAATTGGGAGTCAACCGTGTTGCTTTGCGCGGCGTTCGCTCCGCGCCGCCCCCGCCAACCACAAAGGTCGGCATCACTGCCCGTGGCGGGTTCCAGGCAGAAGTCTCGTGGTTCCTGGTCGGACTAGACATTGAGGCCAAGGCGAGGATGCTAGAAGACCAGATCCGGCACCTCCTCGCGCCGTACTCGTCCAGTTTCTCAGCCTTGAAGTTCTCCACCTTAGGCTCGTCACCGGATGACCCCAGAGATCAAGATAGCGCTACGGTCACCTTCCGAGTCGTCGCACAGGCCCGTAGAGCCGAAGACCTCGCCCCCGCCCGATTCCTCCGTCCCATCGTAGACAACATCATGCAGGGATACCCAGGCGCCACGTTCCATCTGGACCTGCGCCAAGGTTTCCCCAAACCCGTCCACGAGTACTATGTCACACTCCTCCCTCAAGAGGACATCAAGCACCAAGCCCACCTCCCCTGGAAGAACCAAGTCATCGATATCCCCCCTCCCCCGACGACCCGCCAATACCCACCCCGACAGCCCTCGCAAGCCATCACACAATCCCCCGCCAATCCGCAAGCAGATTTCGGACCGACGACTCGCGGCCCCCTGGGCTGGATTGCCCATGCGCGCTCCGGCGATAAAGGCCCAGACGCCAACTGCGGGTTCTGGGTCCGTCACAACGACGAGTATCTCTGGCTCCGGTCGCTGCTGTCCACGCCAAAAGCGAAGGAACTCCTGGGTGAGGCGTACAATGCGAATCCCGAGCTGCAGATTGAACGGTTCGAGCTGCCGAATCTACGGGCTGTGCATTTCTTGTTTCGGAATTTGCTGGATCGGGGGGTTGGGATCACGACCACGGTGGATTTTCTAGGGAAGAATGTGGCAGAGTATTTACGGGCGAGGTGGGTTGACCTGCCTGTGAGGTTTTTGAATAGGGGGAAGTTGTAGCCTTGTAAGCGTGCATTGCCGTGGTAGCCAGCTTCCTTACGAAATTTAACCAGATGAGGGTTCATGAGACTTTGAAGAATGACTGTTATTTCCTCAAAATGAGGACCTGTAAGCCTGAACGCCATAGAGATGCAATCCAGCCGATAAGACGCTCATTTGTTTCGAAGGATGGAAGAAGAAAAGAGATTCAAATAGGATGATATTCCCAGCCTCAGTATCAATTCCTTTACCTCCGCCTTCTGGAACTCTGCATAGGCTCGAAAGCGTCACTGTCATCATCGATATCCTCGCTGGCCACGCTAGCAGCTCTGGTGCTTCGGCTAGTTCTCGATGCCGGTTTGGATGCTTCAGCAGCACGCGACCGCGAACTGGTTTGAGAGCCGACAAAATTAAGCATCGTCTGTGTCTGTCTCGCTCGGCCAGTGGTTCGACCAGTAGCCGTGCCGCTAATGGTCGCTGAAGATGGGGCAGGTGACGCCGCGCTGCGTCCCGATCGGCGCTGACTTGTAGCTACCGAGCTTGCTGCTGGTTTGCGGGTCCTTGTTGTCGGCTGTTTGACGAATAGGGCTTGTGAGTCGTCGTCGTCGTCGTCCCCGTCAATGTTGGAGAGGGCTTGAGGGGCGGCATCCTCTTCATCGTCATCGAGCATGACTACATCGTCATCTTCTTCATCTGAGATTACTTGCTGTTTTCGACCTCTTGTCGTTTTAGCAGGAGTGCTCTTCTTTGACGCTGGCGCTTTAGTTGTGGTACGAGATGTGCTAGTTGCTGCGGCTCGTCCACCTCGTCCACGGCCGCGACCACGACTCGACGCAGCCTTCTGGGGTTCTGTTCCATCTTCAGCAGCTTCCTCTTCGTTGGGATCGCCACCTTCATTATCTGAGTGAATTAGAGCGCCTGGTTGATCCTCCCACTCGCCGTCGAATTCGGTGTCCCATCCGTCGGGCTTCGGCTTGAACCGTTTCTTGCCCCGTGTGCTTCGTTTCTTTACTCCCCGAGAAAACATTTCTTCCATCTGTGTCCGGTACTTATCCATGGCCTTCTGTATAGAGCTCTGGGCTAGTTCTTCATCATCCATCTCGTCGCATTCACGATCTAAGCTCATCAGATGCTTGACCTGGCTTTCTAAGGACTCGTTGACGAACATCTCCATCGCATGCTTGTCATCCTTGTCGATGAATTGAGCCACTGCGTCTCCGAAAGAATTCTGCGGAAGGATGGTCAACGACTGGGCGGCGAGAAACTCGCGGACCAGCTGTTCCACCTTCACTGTGTCCAGAGTGGACAGCTGAGATATAGCGGCTTCATCGACTTCGTCGTCCTTCTTGCGTGTCGTTGTATTCTTCTTCTTCCGATAGAATTGTACCACGTCGTTCACATTGGCGACCTTTCCCACAAAACGGTTGGAAAAGCGCTGAGGGTTCTCACAGTCATAGCTGCCTCCTTCTGGCGTGGATGTCTCGACACGAAGCCTCACTAGCGGTAATGGAACTTCGCGCTCCTCATCTTCATCTGCCTCGTCTTGCATTTCCAGCCATTCCGTTTTGGCTTCCTCGATTAGTTCTTCAACGATTGATATCAGGAAGCGCGTAACTTCAGTTCTGTTGTTCTCTTTACGGGCCAACTTCTGTGCGCCTTTTTCTTCTGACAACACAATCTCTCTCATCGCAAACGGACGAACTGTTTTCAGGCGGATTGGCTCGCATTTAAACTCCCGACCAGTGATGCTAAGAATCGCGACGTGCTTTGGAACCGCTTCGCCAGGGACAAGCGACGTCGCTACTGACGATCCAGGCTGCATGACATGAAATTTTGTCTCCGGGTTGAGCTTTGGATTGATTAAGCATTCGTGTTCGTGGCCCCAGATGACCAGGTCGAGGAATTCTGGGAGGAAATTTTCTGGAAGATAGCCGGTCTCGGTATATGCGTGATGGTTCTGATGGACGCACATCAAGTTGAACCAATCGTTCTTTTGGATGGAAGGCTGATAGAACTTCACTTTACCGTCTCGGAATGTTCTGAAAAGCCTCTCATCCCGTACATTACTCATACCGTACAAAGCTAACTTTGTGCGCCCTTTCTGTAGCAGCACTGGCTTGATATGGATGTTATCGGACTCTGGTGTTCTACCGTAGTAGTTTAGCAGTCCTGATACCTGGAGTAGATCCAAGGCCGCCAGATGACCCTCGCCTGACGGGTCATCGTGATTTCCATGAATTGAGAAGATCGGAATGGCAACGTTGATGTCCAAATCTTCGTAGTTGACGTGGTTGAATGCCCCTTGAAAGTTCTCACTCGCATCACTGAGCATCTCCAACTCACAAGGCTTGTCACCCAAGCAGTTCATTCGGATTGATCGCATGACTTGGTACATGGACTTTCGGGACGGCTTGTTTTCATGGAAAAGATCGCCAGCAAGGAGTACCATGTCCACGTCCCGCTCTTTGGCCAAACACATCACCTCATGGAAGCTCTTCCAGCTGTCATCGCCCCTTATCGGATCTCGCTCATTGTACCCGACATGGTTGTCGGTTGATACAAGGATGCGGATTGTTTCCGCGTCTATGTGAATCAGCCTTTGAAGCTGGAATGGTTTTTTTAAAAATCACTGCTTACCACTGATGCCAGGCATATTCAAAGCAGAGAGCTAATCACACATGCATGCAGAAATGGAGGAGTAAATGTGGACTTTTCAAGGTAACCAGAGAGCAACAAGAGCTTAAAGGTGAACTACGGAGGACAGTTGCTTAGATGCCTGGAGAGTGCTGCCTGCAGACAACAAACACAGCCAACCTTTTTCGGTGCGAATTCATGAAAGACTTGCCATCTCAGTCTGAATTAATATAATCAAGCTAAGAGCATAAAATTTTGTCCACAGAACACTATCCTTGGAATTCTCAGGCTGTTGTTGCGGACGAAAAAGCAATTTGCCTCCAAGGCGCGACCGCGTCACGTGTTTCGGGACGCGAAAGTCTGCCCCCCCGCCATCGACCATCCGAATCTTGAGTCTTGACTCATTCCTTGATTTCCCCTTCAACCCTCCTCCATTTGAGTTCTATCTCAGGAATCGATCCTACCGTATTTCCTTCGTCGCTTCTCTCTGACTATCATCCCGGCTGATCCAGGATTCTCCGCTGGTTCAGTCGCCTACATTGTCCCTCCAACCTTACCAAACCTTTTTATGCAATCAGAGCCATCTGCAGTTCTTCAATCGACTTCCCCAGCAGAAACGCCATCCGGAGACGCTTTCAACCCCACCCAGCATGGACATGACCTTTGCGGAGAGAATCACCGGGTTTCCGGTCTTCCTCATGAGGGAGTCGGAGACCCTAACACTGGCCTCGAGGACGACAGCCTCTCGTCCTTGAACGCGATGAGTTCCGATCCACTCCTTCACTCATCGCCGGCTGTCAGCGGTGCCGGTCAGTACAGGAATGCCATCCCACAGTCTCCCAGCAAGCAAGCAGATTATCGCTCTAAGAGGACAAATCTCAATGCTCAGCCGTGTATATCTCTGGGAGCCTTACCCAATGGTACGTCATCATTCTCCTAGTGCAGTGATTAGCGGCCAACGAACTAATTTTTGGAACTCGCAGAGGTCCTGACTCACATTCTGTCTCATCTGCCACCGCCGTCGTTGTCATCTATCTCACTTGTGTCCCGCCGCTTTTATAGTTTAGTCACCACCCCTCATGCCTGGAGAATCGCATTCTCCCGGTACTTCCCGGGTCCGTACACTCTGGAAAATGACACTCGGCTCTCTACAGCGGACAGCTCGGATAATGTGGCTTCGAATAAGCGGTACTTCTCGAGACTGACTGCGCTAGCTTCTTGGAGAAGCGAGTACATTCTGAGAACCCGCTTGTTGAGATCGCTTTCAAGGGGCAAGCCAGCTCAATTCGAGCCTTCCAAGAAACATGGTACGGTTCGAGCTGCCAATGTACGTAATGGCAGCGCTGTAGCCACCTACACTTCACAGCTTATGTACCCCGTGAGTCATCTCGGTGCTTCTTTCGGTGCAGACGATGCCAAGAAGGAGCCGCATTTTATTCATGGTGCGTCGGAGCAGGGAATTGCATCTGCTAGCGACCCTTCGACGGTCAAAGTCGGTACATGGGGTCTGTCCGATCATCAGATGTTCCGGCATTTCGCGGACTTGTTCCCTGGCGATACCGAATATGGCCTTGGATCCGGCGACCTTGTTGGGCAACCCAACTGTATGGACGTCAGTCAGCCATATGGCATGGTCTATGGCGAAGGTTGTCCGCAAGGCCGTAGTTACTTCATCTCGACTACGGAGCAGCGTGGCCGTTTCCTTGGACTCGTGGAATCAAGATTCAAACCACAACAGGGTGTCCCTGCGCTCAACCCGGCGACAACTTCAATCACTGCAGTCTGGATCGCCAAGTCTGCGCACATCCTTAAGATGACGGGAGGCTTGATTGGGATGCTATCTGGCTCATCTGTCGGTATCATTACGGCTTATGCCCTCGGACCTCATCCTACTTATGAGAAGCGGTTTGAGAGGGGCCAGGTCACGGCTAAATGGGCTATTTGCCCTGGAGTCCCCATCATTGGTATTGCTGTTGATGACAATTATTCCAAGAAACGCTCCTCTTGTGGCAGGATATGGGTAACGGTTCTTAATGCTCTCGGAGAGGTGTTCTACCTAACAGAAATACCCCGACAACCTGATGTTGCGGCAAAGTTGAGCGCAGAGGAAATTGATCAGCTTGCTTGGAAAACCGGTAGAAGTGTTCGATGGGAGCTCATAGAAGCGAGCAGGCGGACTGCACGAGCAGACCCGTTCAACAGGGATCCTGTCGATGGAAGCTACAGCCCTAGATCGTCGTCCGACTCGATGAAGCTGGATGAACAGCAGATAGCTGCCGAAACCAAGGAGATTGAGCGTTTCCTGAAATTTAGACCCAAGCATTTCCGAAAGGTTTGTGAGGGCTGGGATATGAGACGCGATCTGAAAGTCGACTTTGCCGGTGATGACGGCCATGGCGCTGGTGAGTCAATCATGGTTATTGCTCGAGGCGCTGGTGAAGGTGAAAAAGCTTCAATTCGCAGGTTCACCAGGATCATGAAGTCCGATCTGCCAGCGGCTTCTAGAACCCTTCCTCATATCACTGGTGATGCTACATCTCGATCTCTTTTTGGTGGGCCTAGCCATACACCTATCCCATCATCCGCTTCGGACGCGAGTAGTCTGCCTCCGTCCAGAACTTCCAGTTACCTCAACGATACAGTCGTCTGCTCGGTTGCAAACACAGAATGGCGCATGTCGGACTTTGGCTTCGGCGACCGAAAGTCCGTCCGAATTACTACAAGCGCCTTGGATTCTTCTACTTATGCCGTCCTGACGGCTGACGAGGATCCACTACTCGGGATGTCTGGTGGCTCGGGCTTCTCTTCGGCCATGTCGTCCCCATTGCCGCACATGAAGCAGTCTTCGTCAAATCCTGAAGTTCCTGGAAGTCGAGGACGATACCTCGCTGTTGGTACCGCCACAGGTCTGGTGTTCGTTTGGGATATACGGGCCCCCTCGGCCAAGAGTACCGATATTATCAACTCCGTGTCGCCACTCAGGATCATCCAAACCGACTCACCACAGGTGTCATGTGTTGCCCTGACATCCTTATATTTGGTGCACGGTGGTAACGACGGACTTGTGCAAGCATGGGATCCCCTTGCCTCTACCACACGGCCTATTCGGACAATCAACTCACGGTTTTCTTCCAGAGCCCGTCGCCGCTTAGTGCAAGCAGAAGCCTCCATGCATGGAGTTGGCAATAACTTCTTCGCATGTGGAGCCATATGCCTTGATCCCGATCCGACTGTGCTGAGAGGCATGGTCGCTCTGGGAACGCATCTGCGGTACTGGGCTTTCAGCTCGTCGGGCGCAGATCAATACAAGAGTAGTAAGCGTCGACTACGCCGCGGCCACAGGGGTAGCAATATCACGGCTGAGGGTCAACGATTCAGCAGCAGTGGCCGTGGAGCCCTCAAAGAGTACATAGATGACGAAAAGGTGGAAATGGAGCGACAGAAAGTTGCCGAAGCGAAGGAAAGGGCGCATCTCAGCAACCGGTTTGGTATCGATCTATTGGGACCGGACGTCAGCGAGGAGCAGCTTCTCGCCTACGCACAATTACTGAGCGAAGAAGCTTTCGCTAGTGAAGCCCTCAAGCGTGGTGAAGCGGTCGATAGCTCGGTGGTCAGTACCTCTCCAAGTGACACCATCGGTCGGAATGATAGTTCTGTCGCAGCAGACGACTATTCATCCTCATCCTCTCCGTACCAGGACACCGTCGACGATGATCTTGCCCCTGATATTGCTGAAGCTATCCGCCTGAGCTTGCTCGACGAAGGAGCTTCCCAAGAAAAGTCTCCTTTTTCCGTGAAGTACTCCAAGAAGTTTCATTCGAGTTACGGTGACATCTCACCATGCGAATTGGCTGGTCCTGAAAGCAGTCGCCAGCAAGAGCTTGATGATCTAGAGCTTGCCATACAGTTGAGTCTTGCGGAGAGCCAGAGTGTTGGGCAAACAGAGAGACAGCAACACGGGGAATATCCTTCGCCGAGCACATTCTCACCGGCCTCTGACAAGGGTAAAGGCAAAGGAAGAGCTTTGTAGATGAACATTTTGTTTTGTTTTGTTTTGTTTTCTGACTTGATTCCAGTCTAGTTTTTATCTTCGATCATTAGATATTACTAATCCTTTACATTGACTACATCATCTTGAGCATTTTCTCCATGCCCTATCAACAGAGCATAAGGGCATACCTATTCGGCTGTATCCAAGTTCATACAATCAATATGACTCAATTTCGAAAGACGTCGATTTGAGCTTTCTTTCTGTACAAGTATTTTCTAGCAAATATCGAATTCATGAAATTTCCATATCAGGTAACAAAGCATCATAGCTACAAAGAATAAAACCAAGTCTTATAAGCAAACTATATCAGAGCTTGATCTATATGTTCTGCACAAGAATGTACTGTGTTTGAAAGCCCCAAGACGCGGCGAGGTTACATGACCGCCTGGACGAAGACAAAAATGTTCTCGAATATTTAACAAGAATACAAACCAGGAGACAAGAATATTAACCGATTACAGCATGAAGAACGCCATGAACGAGGCAGCAGACAGGAGGCCAACGAAGGGCACGGAAATCGTGCCAGCGGCACCCTCCTTCTTGCCAGAGCCGGACGAAGACGAGCTGCCGCTCGAGCCGGAGCTGGAAGAGCCAGAAGTAGAGCCGGAGCTGTGAGCACCGGGGGTATTGGACTCACCGCTAGCCAGAACATTCAGCTTGATGCCGGTGATCTCCTGGCCGTTGGCGCTGTAGACCTTCTGCTTGATGTCGGTGCTCTTGACCTCGACGAGCTTGCCGGTGTTGGCGTCGGAGAGGCCGTTGTCGATCATGTTCTGGACCTTGGAGGGTCTCTTGGGCAGATCGAAGGAGTCGGTGAAGGTGGAGTTGGTGATGAGGGAGGAGTCGCACTTGGGGGCCTTGGCGGAGGTCTGGGTTGTGTTGGAGGCTTGGATGCGGCTCATGTCGAGCTTCTTGTACTGGGTCATAAGGTTGTCGTAGTCGACGAGGAGTGTGACGGTGCTGTTGTC